CCCGCTCCTCATTGCCGTGCCCCTCCCTCCCTTTGCAGAGGTCTTCGGGGGCCGGGTCGGGCTGCAGCGCCGAGCACACCGGGCGGGGATGGAGCCCTGGGCCAGCAGTCGGGGCTGGCCTGGGCCTGAGCTCCTGTTGGCGCCAGCTCCTTCCTTAAGGGGGAAAAACAGCACTGCCCCTGAGCCCTCCCTGGTAGCGCTTGTGCTCTTCTGCTTTCCCCTGGGCCGCGGGTTACCTGTGGAAGGAAGCTGCGGCAGTTGGATCATCCTCTTAGCTGGAACTGCGCATGTTGCTGCGCGGACTTAGTTTTTGGTTTGCTTCAGCTGATGATAAAACTGCTCAAAGGTTTGCACCATATTTAGGAATATCTGCAGCTTGACTTGTGGCTGTTTGCGTTGCGCTTTTGTGATCACAGTCATTAGTTACATGTGCAGTGCACTCTACTTTGGCCTTTTCTACCTTCCTTTTTTTAGTATTACTTAGAATATCTAGCTTGCAATGGCTAGAGTCATCTTCTGTCTTTACACATCTGATTTCCTTTTCTGAACAGCTTCCTGAAGCTTTACACATCTTTGTTTCACCCTGCATGTCACTTTTCTCTGTCCTTTTTCTCTCCCCAGGTTTGTTTCTGTACTTCCAGTGTTGCCCTGCACACTTGGAAAAAGGCTGTTGATTCATAGAAAAATTTCTTTTGATACTTCCAAGCGTTTAAAAGTCAATTCTTCCTCAAGGCCAAGATATGCTGGCCTAAAACAGTGAAACGGCTTCACTGTGGTTTTGTCACCACTCCTTTTCATTAAGCCTCCAATTGGATAACTTCAAACAGTTCTTAAAAGCTCTATAGCTCCAAGATCTACAATCAAATCATGTGAATCATGAACTTCTAACTTGCTCAGAAAAAAGTTATTATTACCTGAAATTATTTTAAGTTGTTATTTTTGATTACAACCATTTCACTTGCTGTAGAAAGCTTAATAGGACAGTGTGTTGTTATTAGAATTTCTGCTTTTGCACAGAAAACTGCACATCGTCATTGACCTCATGGTTAATTTCAAGTTACACTTGTATTTTTTTTTATCTCATTTACAAATTAAAAACATGTAAAAATAGCAATCTTAACATTATGCTATTCAAATGATGCTCCTGGTATCTTAAGATAGCACTATCAAAATGGGGATAGCCTGTGTTTTACAGATTTGCAAAACCTAGTGCAGGTCCTAAATGTTTTTTGTATAAATACTCCTCCCCCATCCCAGCAGGAGTAATTACAGGTAATTTTATTTCTAATTTACAAAGAAGAATGTTTATAGATATAAAAAATATATATGCAATTTGTATATATTTATTCTACATAAACTAGTGTTTCTTTCTTTTATTTAGCGCCTATGACTGTGTGATACCACCTATGGAGAAAGCTGTAGTGAAAACAGATATTCAAATTGCACTTCCTTCTGGATGCTATGGCCGAGTAGGTAAGTAAGCAGGCTGTAAAAAGGCTTCAGGGAAACAATTTTTGTAACTGTAGACTGGGCTCAAGCTAGTGCAGTTTCATGTGGCCTAGCATAGTCGCCTCTTTCTACTTTGATATAGTCATACAGATTTATTCTCGGTGTATATCAGTTTGAGCAGCTGCACCCAATTGTACCCATGTAAAAGTCATTGTAGAAGAGGCTTGACACAATCCTTCCAGTTAGATGGGGTCTTAAGCTTTTTAGATTGTTCCGCACATGAAAAACAAGCTTCCAGATTCTTCTACACAGAAAAAAACATGGCTATGTGATTTATCAAGCCTGGTACTAGACATTTCTTGTCAAAAACATTTGAGGTTTGGTATATATCAAATGACAGAGATGATCAGCTAGTAAAAATTTTTATAACTTGCATACAACTTTATAGGCTATGCAATAATTTATTATTTTGCTGCAGTTCAAATATTAGAATCACAGTGTCAGGGCATGGAGTGCATCCCCCTTCTAGGACTTTAGTTGACTTGGCTCAAGGCTTGAGCCAGCCAGCGCTAGCTGTCAGGAAGCGGTGTGGGCTGGCTGCTCTGCAAGGGAAGGTGAGCCAGGAGCAGAGCATGATGATAAGGCAGGTGTGACTCGTGACTGCGCCAACAAAGAGCCAGGATGCAAAGCAGCAACGACAGGTCAGTATCAGGGCCAGAGACAGTAGTTAGGGTCAGACAGTCCAGCGGTCACTTGGCAAGTCTGTAGTGATGAAACAGGTCCAAGGTCAAGTCAGGAAGCCCAGCTAGCGGGTCCAGCTCAGGGTCAGTCTCAGAGGTACGAGACTGGATTCAGACATAGCTGCTGCATGTCTGTGATGTAGTGCAGGCAGGGGCGAGCAGTAAAGCCTCAACCTAAAAGCAGTTCCCACGGGCAGGGGGAGGCAGGCCATTGCTTCTGGCTTTCTTAACAGCTCTTATCTGGAAGGAGCTGAGCAGCTGAACTCTAACTTGGCCATCTAAACTGCTAGAAAGGGGATGCACCCTAGACCTTCACATGCTTGTAGGCTAAACTACACGCCCTTCTAATAGGTAATGCACACATGGAAAACTTACCCCTGGCTGTTTAAAAACTAACCCTGAAATAAAAGTACTAGAATAGCAGAATTTGACTAGTTCTTGAGAGAACCTATGCAAAGTATTTTGTGTGCTCCTATTTGAATTATTTGTAAATTCTTAATGGTGCTAACAAAAAAAAAAACACATAGCCACTCCAGTGGGAGATCATGATCAGAGCTTGCAATGGAAATGTAAAGAGAGAGAATGTGTGTATTTTCTTATCCCAGGCTGAAATTTTTGAAAAGAGTGACATTTTAGCACACCTATTAAAGTAGGCTAAGGTAAGTAAAAACCTGCATGTCATTTAATTTATCTGTTACTGTTAGTTTAATGTCTTAAACTGCTTACCAAATGTTATTTTCTATTGTAACTTGAATGGTTGACCTAATGATTTTTTGCGATTATTCTAGAAGAGTAGTAACAGCCAAAATAAACCAGGATTAGATAGTCATTGTCTATTCCAGCCTTCTTTGTAGAGAAACGTACACTGCAGTTGATGGTCTAAACATGGACACACTTAGAACATTTAAAGACTGCAGTTCTGTTGTAGCCTGTAGCAGTTGATATTTTGTTTAATGTATACCAAAGCACTTAGTGTAAAGTTTCTTGTAAGAAATCCTTGTAAGATTTCTCGCAAAATCATATTTACTTTAGAAGGAGACTGGAAAGAGTTCTTGTTGATGAAACTTTGTGCAGCCGTGCTATCTAACCTATAAATATTGCATAAGAGTTAAAATATGTTACAGTTACAAAAATTCTTGTTTTCTAGCACCACGTTCTGGTTTAGCTGCAAAACACTTCATTGATGTTGGCGGTAAGATTTTTGTTCTTATTAATAAATTTTTGTAAATCTTGGTTGCAAAAGTGCATTAATTTCACTTTGTAATGTGTAAATAAATAACACTAGCTTCATTAGTAGCCAGGCAAAAGAGGATAAGCCCAATTTTCTTATAATAACCATGTAGTAGTATTACAGGTAATACCTAGCATAGAAGTTTTTTTTGTCTAACGCTTCAAAGATGGCTTTTTTACAGTCCATTTTCTCCATTTTGACTACACATCTCTGGTCCATTTCAGTCTAGTTTGGGACCTTAATGAATTAAATCAATAGCATATAGATATTCTTTTATATAGAACATTTATAGTAATGATATTGAAAAGGAATGATAAGAAGCACTTGCATACACCATTAGCGTGGATAATTCTTCACCTACAGAAAATGGTTTATTAGGATGAAGACAGCTTTAATTTACTCTAACTGATCAAACTGTAACAGATAATAGTGTAATGCAAATGAAGTTGAAACTTCTGTAACTTATACATTAATTGACTTAAACTCTGAAAGTCTTTTGAAACAGAAGTAAAACAAATTCTACTCTGTACAAGTCCATACTGTCTTTTTCAATCAGTAGTAGCCCAGATTTGCTTTGAACAACAGCCTGTTTTCATGTTTTGAGCTTTTTTTAAATTTCGAGTAGAAATTCATAGCTATCTCTTCAAAAACAATTACTGTAGACATGCCTACAATCTGAAGCCTTCAAGAGAGCATCACTGTCCTTTTGCCATAAAGTAAATGATGTTGAAGGTTCAATTCCAGTTTTACAGTGGGGCTAAAGGTTACTGTGGAGTTATTCTGAGCACAGCTGTAACTCCAGCAATTTACCTAGCACAAAATGTGTATTGTTCTGATTATACAAGAATATAGTTTTCAGTTAAACAAAATGCTTTCTGCATCCTCAAATCCTAAATAATAAGTAGTCTTTGTAGTGGGGTATTTTTTTTTTTTTTTGATAACAGAGCATAGTAGAGAACTAAACCCTAGATTTCTGGTGTAATGATATAAAGAACATGCATCTAATGAGTGTTTTCAAAAAAACTGCTGGATGGCTGAAAGCACGTTTCTAGCAAGTACATGCTAGTTTCAGTCATAGTGGAAGCTGACAAGAGAAGTGTGATAAAAAGATGAATCTTTTTCCTCGCTGCTAGGCTTTACTCAAAATTTTTCCAGTGATATCAAGAGACTACTTCAAAAAAGTGTTACTCAGCCTTTACTTACTTATAGGCTTAGCTCGAGGAGAAGGGTGACCCAGGACATCCTTCTCCTCCTGATGCCAAGGCAGCCAAAAATACTTTCCAGTATAATTTAGAGCTGCCACCCACTTGCTTTATTCTGTCTACTTTATGGCATATCAAAGTCTGGCTGTATCTCTGATATGCTTCTGATATCAGAGGTTAAGGGGAGCATCTATGCCAGCTTTATGTCATTCAGCTTCTTCTTAAATCAGGAGGGATTTTTGCAGGTCTATTATACTAGGACTTTTTAGGTGTCACTAAAAGAAAGAGGACTAACATAGTAATCCAAGATTCTCTACAACACTACCTTTCTATAGTATATGTGGTATGCAATAGTGTGGTTTCTCTGTGCCACATGCCTAAAAAAAAAACCAACAAAATTTCAGTTATATAAAAAAAAAAAATCTACATATGTTCTGTAACAGTCTTTTCAATCCCAGAGTTAAAGTAGGAAGTACTAGAATGCAACTGTAAGTGCTTAGTAGGATAACCTATGTTCAGTTTTTTTTGAAAAGTTGATGGTTTACAAACCATGAGTAAAAATTATTACTGACAGTTAGTAGGAGGCCTCTCATTTAAAAAAATTAAAAAAAAAATCAATTTATCCTGCATAAATATTTTTGTCACAGTGAGGACATTATCCATTTCAGCAAAAATACTTTGTCAGAAGTCCTAGATGGTAAATAGGGGTCAGGGAAAAAAAATTGTGAGCATTTAAGAATCTGTTCAGAATTCACATCTGCTAGGTGTGGATGCTTTCCCAACAAGTGACATGCCAAACTATTGACAGAGTAAGACAGTATGTCAGTCTGCCAGTTCCAATGCATGATTTTTCCAGAAATGACTTAGATGATTTCCACCCCAACATATGTCATTTAGAAAAGTGCCTTCACGCTCAGCAGTGCGTGTAATTATTGCAATTTGCTAGTCTGGAATAATAGAATGCCAAGGGAGAAAGTTTTTTTCACGCAAACGTATTTTGCCAGCACATCCAATTACATACACTGAGTTTCTGACCCTATATAGAAGGGAGGCTGTTTGGTCCCTGTCCCAAGGATCACATATTCTCTAGTACAAATAGCATAGTCTGAACTCAAAATCCCGACAGTGGTCAGATTCGGTAAGACTATTTCAGTGGAGGTATAAACACATTTAAAGAGAAAATGATTGGTAGGGAATTAATTTGGCAAAATCTTTACGCTGCTGTGTCTTCAGTGGGATTTAAAATTATGGCTTTAGCAATATTTTGGTCATTCAGCATAGCATTAGACTAATGGTTTTTGCCTCAAAATACTTCCAAAATGTTAGAATGTTTTAATGAGGATTTTTTCTCTTAAGGAGTAATACAAGTGACTTACATTTTAAATACTGCTGACCTCAGTTCAGCCACAGATGTGTTCATCAGTCTTTTCCACTTTGAGTTGTAAGACAGTTTTCAAATCCTAGAGAGCGCACGTATCTTTCTTCTCTACCCCATTTCATTTCTTTGGGCTGGATCATCCTCTCCAGTGATAAGGTTGCTGAAAGGAAGTAGGAGGCCTGAATTCTGAAGTCGAATATGCAAAGTAACTTCAGGTTTTTCCCCATGTCAGGAAGTAAAAGAGGCCATAGATTGTTCAGAGAGAAAACTTAAGGTCCAGAATTTTTGCAGTGTGTGCTGCTAAATAAGAAAGCTAAGTTTTCTCTCCGTCTTTGTTTGTTGCCCTTGTTTCAAAAAAAGATATGCTATCTCCGATGCATGTTTCGTTGAAGTCAGTTGGTAAGATTCTGTGGTGCTCAAGCTCTTTTTATATACAATATGTTAGAATGTCTGTTGAGCATTTGTATTGTGCACAAGAGGAAGGAGGAGATGTGTCAGCCATTGTCTTTGGTGCCCTGGAGCATTCAAAACAAAATTATCATGTGATTGACATTTAAATGAATGGATGCCTGGCAAAAAAAAGGATAGCAACTTTTAGAGAAATGACACAAGGTTTAAGCCATTTTCAGAGAAGAATTGTACTAGCTTACTTCCAGCATTGGTTAAACATGTGACAAACTTGTAGGGACTGAACTTGCAAAGTGAAAGTATATTAGCTGAAGGACAGAATCTTGCTATAAATGTGCATTCAACTGTCAAACTTTGTCTGGAGTGGCATATTTCTGTGTGGAATTTGACCCTTGGATACTCAGTCTCTACAGGAAGCAGTTTTGGGAGCCCAGGTTCTGCTAGTGGTAGTATTAAGAGTGCTTTAGATATAACAATACTCACAGGCCGTTTTATCTGTGTGCTGTTGAACAATAACTCCATATTATTACTCTAAAACTCATTACTAGTCTCTTTAGCAACAGTTGAATAGGTGGTCAAAAGAAATCAGAATCTGTTCATAGAAGTAACTGTTTAGATGTCAGCCTTTTCAAGAAGTACTTGCAAAATATATTTCAGTGACTACACATAAAGCACAGATTGTGCTAATGAAGTTTTTAAAAGGGTAGGGAAGGCATGTGGCTAGATTGATTAAAAAGGAATAGAAATACTGAGATGATATCAAATTCTAGTTATTCTAATGCAAGCTAAAATTTGGATTTTCTATTTTTTTTCTAGAAAATATTATCAATGACAAGTGGATCAAAAAAAGCTTAGCAGTTCAGCATCAACCAACACATCAAGCATGATTTTTGTCATTTTGTGGAAAAACTTGCTTTTTGCAGGGACACAAAGATAGAAGAGTTAAGTTAGATTGACTTTAAGTAGCCTATTTGTTCTATTGTATAGATTTCTTCAGGTAACTCCTACAAAAATGTGACATGCAGGAGTCTATTTCTTGCTTGTGTAAATCTAGCCATACTACATTGGTTGGTACATTCATACATTTAAAAGCATAATCACCATTTAAATACAATTAGACTGTAATAATCAGTTGTCTTTGAATATTGCATTATAAGAGAGCAGAATACTGTGTTATAACAGAACTAAAACTAGCCCTCATTATGTTAAATTAGTAAATTCCATTATCAGTCTCTAATGCACAGTGATATCTGTCCTAGCATACAGTCTAGAAAAATGATGTCTTAGCTGCACAGAAACACTTTGGAATGATTTGTCAAATGAAGAATTTATCCAAAGAGCTAATGATTTTATGTGCATTTATGAGCATATGTACGCAGTTGTGTGCACCAAGTATGAATTCTTACTTTCAGCTCTCCAGGTGATTGACTCAGGTCAACAAATACACCAAACTAATGGACAGCTAATTACAGAACTTGAATGAAGCTTAAAATTATTTATACTGCTCTTACCAGACTGTTCAGTCACTTTTCTTAATGTGTCTGTGTAGCGTGGACTGAATGTCCACTAGCGTGTAAAACAAAGGAAATTACTTGTATAGCTAACCTAACATTTTGTGTAGCCTCTGGCTTAGCAGTTGTGTCAGAGCTCTAGATTGTTTAATATTTAAAAAAGGAGGAAGTAAGAGTTCCTGGCAAGAAGTGAGGAGAAGTTTGTTTTTTTATTTTTTCCCTTCAGTAGTTCGGCCTTTTCTGCTCGTACACTGGCACAGAAGCATAGGGTTTGCTTACTGTTATTTTAAGTACTCTGTACTCTGGACACTGTAGGAAAAAAGATGTAAAAAGTCTGTGAAATGTGATGACCGATGTAATTGATGTACTGTGATTCTCAAATTAGCTGAAGCACAGTTGACTTTCTGAAAGGTGATCTAATCTAAAACAAAAACAGAAAAGGACATGTGCGGAAGCCTTCTGTACCTTAAGATCTGTCTGAATCAAATAAACTGAATGCTACATTCAGGAATTTTTGTAACCAGATTTTCTCAATTCTGGAGAATGTTAATTCGCAGCAACCCCTAAGTTTTGTTTGCTGTTGGCTTTAGCAGTGCTCTGTAATTAGGAGCCCTTTAAGCAGTTACACACAGAATAATATAATAACCAGTGAATATACCGAGAATGGCATATTTTTCTGATTTGTCAGAACTCAGGGGGTTACTCCAAGTGTTATTAGCATCTTAATTAGGAAGCTGTTCAAAAATGTGATTCTTCATACTATGCCTACATATAATGCAGAGATTGTGGAATAACTTTGTGTAGTATGTGCTGTAATATTTTCCACACAAAGTACAGGCTTAATTTCTATACGACAGCTTCCTCTGCCATTTAAAATCTCTAAAGGTAGTATTTTATTTAGGATTCCTAGAATGTCTTTAAACCAAATGTAATTTTAGTACTGGAGTTATTCCCGTGAGCAGACTTCAAAATACATACTTTGGTCCACAAGGAAGCCCAAACTCCACTTTTTCTGCTGGAAGTGTACTAAAGTGGGAGGAACAACAAAAGCAAAAAAACACCACCACCACGTGCTCCCTCTCATCCCCTTAAGAGCAGGGAAGCTGAATTTGATCACTTCAACATCTATTGGTAGATAGTCTCCTCAGCTACCTTAATAAAAGGTTATGTACTAGATAGTTAATACAGTTATATAAAATACAATAGCAATTTTGTTCTACAGTATTTTCACTTGAATGTAACTGAATGACAGTTTAGCTCATTAAAACTTCAGTTCTGTTATCTTGCTTGAAATATGGTATTGGACTCTGTGCAAATCCATAGGTCTCAAATAAAATGTTTGGCTTAAGAATACTAACTTCTGCTTCATAGTGAGAGAGCTGAAGTTAGCAGAACAAATGGAGCATGCATTTGCTACAGCTGTCTTGATTTCAGGTAGGCTGTTATAACTGAAATTGGTGTAAAGTGATAAGACACTTCTTGATATGGACAATGTTTTTTTCAGTTCAACTTTTTGCAAAATAGTTTTGCATTTTTAGATATTTCAGTATTAAACATGTATTGTCTGAGTGTGCATGTACTTAGTAGAAAGGATGTCAGGATACTGAAATCATCTACTAATCTAAACCCACATTTTTTAATATACTGGCAACATTCAGTAACTGAGTATCCTCCTTAATTCTGTTTTATGACAGCTGGTGTTATTGATGAGGATTACAGGGGAAATGTTGGTGTGGTACTCTTCAACTTTGGCAAGGAAACTTTTGAAGGTAAGTGTTAAGCTTGGCAAAGCCCGTTTTCAGGCATCTAATCGGAAATGAGAGACTAATTTTTTTGTTGTTGTTAAGTGGATGTCAAGTTACAATTAATTGATAACAGTTTTCTTCTTACAATTAGTAAGGACATGAAAACTTAATGTCCTGTCAAGGCAACATGAAAAGTTTCCACTCCTGGTAAATTCAGTGGCATGGAAAAGTTTAGCTAAGTTTTTGCTTCATGAGCTGTATTGAAGTGCAACTTTGTGGTAAATTTCTTCGTTGCTCAGCAGAAAAGGTGTTGTAGTTGAACCATGCTTGAGATAAAAAAACTTTAGGATCTCAGGAAACACTAGTAATAAAGATGTAGTTTGCCTTTAACTATGCCCTCTCTGCATGCACACAGGTTTAAGCTTCAGGACAACATTACAATATTGCCAGCATTTTTGCAGCCTTTTCTGCAACTTCACAGCACAAACTTTTCAGGGAAGTTCTGTGAACTGGATGGGGTACTACTCAGAGATGCTTTGTTTTCCTTTCATCAGTCCCCCTTCCTCCTGCCTCCCCACCCCGAGAAATCAATTCCTGCATCTAGTTCACAAGGGAGCCCCATTCTACATAGAGCTATCTCACAACCTCTGCAATATTTAGGCATAATGACATGCAACATGCCACAGTATGGCAGCATAAATGAGAGGAGATGCCTTTCAGCTGGTATTGCTGCTGAAACTTCATCTTAAAAGACTAAGTACAAGTTTATTATAGCCTATATTTTTGTGGGCTACTAATGTCTAAGGTCTGCTTAACTAAGTTTCAGTACTTATGCTTTAATACTTTGTGATGCTCTTGAAAAGGGATTGTCTGAACTTTGTACTGTTCGAAATATTTTTTAAGGGAAATACTAATCCTTCAACTTTCTTTCAGTGAAAAAAGGGGATAGGATTGCTCAGCTGATCTGTGAACGTATTTTCTATCCTGAGCTAGAAGAAGTTCAAGTAAGTTGCTAAAAGGAAATACTTGTGCTATTTTCAAGGATTAAGAGTTTACGAAAGATGCATATACGCTGAAAATTATGGTATAGATAAATGCATTGCCATACAACTGCTCTCAGTGTTATAACTGCACAGTAACATTATTACCTGAATAAAAAAGTTTATGCTTACATGCATTTACCTGGATTTTTTTCCAAGTTTTAAGAGGTAGCAGTCGCATGAAAAACACTTCAGTGTGTACTAGAAACTTATTTCACAACATGGGATTGTTTCAGTTTGTACATGCTCCTGTGAAGCAGCTCTTCAGTGTCAATATAAGGTGCACTGGCTGCTATAATTTCTTAACTTTCATGTGAGAGCAGAAATTCTCTAATTTGTGGTAGGTGTTAGCTTTCTTTAAAAAGCAGACTAGTTTTAGATGAAGCTAAAGCTGTTTTCGCCACAGAAACAATATTAGAAGTAATATAAAGAAACAATAGCATTTTTTCAAATTATCAGTTAGGGACAGAAGATATTGTAAATGCCTATATTGTACGCATCTGACTTCTAAATTTGTTTTGCTTTGGGAGTTATAGCTATTGCTACAAGAAGAGTAAACTTACCTTCCTCTGTGACAGACTATCTGTTGAATATAAATGTTAAGTTAAAGCAAGTTAAGACACTAAAACAGCTTACTATAATTGATGTCTTTCAGGCTCTAGATGATACGGAACGTGGCACAGGTGGCTTTGGTTCTACTGGGCAGAACTGAAGATGCCTTGAATATACTTTTTGTAACTTTTTTGGTTATATTATTTAAATTTTCATTTCAAACAAAGGTAGATAAAAATAGTTTCAAGGTTTTATACAGACATCTCCATATCTGTTCTGTCTGTTCTTATAGGCAGTGAATTTATCTGCATTATGGGGAAAATGCATGAATGACTAAACAGATCGGTTGCTGGGTTTTTTTGTGAGATGTTTGATCCTCAGTAACAAGTACCATTGTTTATGTGCCGATTATACTATAATAAATGTGAAAATAACTTCATAATTTGGTTTTATTTTACTCATCTAAATTAAAAATACCTATCTGTTCACTTGCCAGTTTGTATTAATCTTCTGAAAGCTTGCTTTCCCATATCTCAGGATTCCATGCTGAGCCTGTTTCATATAGAATCGGTGATAATACAAATATCAATATGACTTCCTACTCTGTGACCCCTAAATCGGAATAAGCTAAAGATATTTAACATTGTGTCTTCTGCAACCTTTAAAAATACTTGTGCATCATTACAAAGCTAATACATTATCTCTGATCTTTCAACAGCCATTTTTTCAGCCCTTTGTTAAAAGGCAGACAATACAGTAAGTTTGACTGGAGTTAAACAAGAACTCATCTGGAAGTAACTTTGATACAGTACATTCATGCTATGAAATAGGCTGCTTGTTGACAAATTTATCAATAAATGACTATATAGAAGGAGGATTATTATTGAAGCAGCATACAAACCCTTTTTTCGGTAAGAACATTTGTTCCGTTATGACCAGTTAACAAAAATCTGTTTTGGAATCTGTCCCAAACCTGATTGTCTCAAACTGCGGGGCTCTATTACATGACTTGTAAACGTTTCAGGTGAAAGAACATGAGAAGGGGCAAAAAGGAAAGAATCTTAAATATTCTGCCACTTCACAGAAAGCAATTACGAAATGCTATGAGGCTCTCAAAACACAGAAGTTTTTCCTGCAGCTCTCTGTATGCTGCTTTTAGATTTTTCTTAGCTGAAGTGTCACAGATATAAGATACTGTGCTTTATGTACGGTGTCTCAACAGTAGAAAGCTAGGAGGTGTTTGTAGATTAATGTACTCACACCATTCTTCGTAGTTTTGAATTCTGTTGCCATTAGTTCTATGTTCTCTTCTAGGGCCAACCATTTCCAGTGAATTAGGTCTAAAATACTGCTAACTATATCCATTTCCTGTCTTCCCCAAGAGACTGGAAAACACACTGTAATAAGACAGCATTCTAATTCCTTCAGCCAGTAGGATAGTCATTTCATTGACTTAACAGTGCTGAAACAAGTAAATCTGTCTTTGATCACAGTAAAAATCTTTTTCTGCATGTGCATTTAACTATGATTATCAATGCTTTTTTTTCCTGCACCCTTAGCGCAACACCATACTTGACTTACATCTGTATACCCAGGCCTTTAGAAGCTGGCTTACCAAGCAGAAGCCTATTCTGAGTGAGAAGTGCATCATACCAGTCTAGCTTTAAATAAATTGGAAAAGCTGAACTAAGACACTAAGTTTCTTCCCTTATATAACCTGCTGGAGAGGAGCTTCAATTATCAAAAGCTATTTAAAGGTCTTAAAATAGCTAAGATCCTTTTGTGTAAAGCGTTTTCCTCTTGCTGGAGTATGAGACGAGAGCAAGTCTTGCTGCTCTCTTCCCCCCCAAAACCAGAACAGGGTATACACTGACAGAAGTCCTTAAATACTACAAGATGATCTCACTTGAGGTAGCAATCTACAAGGAAAAAGTTGTGTTTGAGTTTTGCTGATAATACGCATCATGTGATGTACCTGTTAGAAGCATCTAATTTCAATTAGATGTTCAATTGTTAGGGTACCTAACAATCTGGGTTCTGAGATTAAAAAGGAATAATATTTGATAGGAAGAGTCTTATCTCAGAAGTCAGGCTGCATGAAGAAGAAACATGACAGTAAGTTAATGGAGATTTGCCTTCTGTAAGTTATCAACATAAAGTACGCTATTTAAGTGCCTTTACTAAGAAGCGGTCACTTACTTTAAAATTTGCTATAGCCAAATTCCTTTTCATTATTTCTCAATGCTTATTTGGAGAGCTTGTAATGAGTTGAAGACTACTGCAAGACTCTTGCCAAGAGGCTCTTGGAAAAGTCTGCCCATCTGAAACAAGGCAAATGCATTCAAGATTACCTCTACACTGAGATTCTCCCTATATGAATCAAACCACTGCACTAGGGTAGCAAATTCTGATAATTGCCTTAATTGAGGTGATGCTTCAGGATGAGTGACACAGCTATAGAAGTTAAGTGCTTTTTACCAGGGAACCTGAGAATTACAAAACAATTTATTGAAAGCTCTTAAGTTGTTGGGTTTTTTTTTTTTCCTTATTATTTTTAAACTGAAGACCACAAGCTATAGCAAAGCGTATAGAATCTTTTTGTATTGGTAGTGGAGAAAAGCATTCTTACAAACTATGCTGCCTACTTCTGTTCTCCCCATTTTAAGAGACTTAGAAACAGCCCCACAGAATTTCCTGAACATAAACATTATTTTAACATTCCCCTTTTCCATTAATATTACATTTGCTTTGAAAGTGCCTTATCTTGGTAGCTGACAAACAGATATGGACGGCACAGAATAGTACCTGTTGGAGAAACTAGCTTTTTCCTTCACCTGGCTCTTGTTCATGTAATTTATCCTCTCCCTATAAATAAAGAAAAGGAGATAGATAGACTAGAACTCTTTTCAGCAAAGTTTAAACTTCCCTATATATAATGGCACATTTTAAGTTTTAATTAGGTTATTTGATCCTGTTTAAAAATCAAAAAACAATCTCGCAGGAGGAGACAAGTGTCATCAGTACCTACAAAGGATATTTCTGTAGTTCGATCACCTACAGAAGTTACAGTCAGCATGTTAAAATTTATAGCACTTGAAAAAGGAAGAGAGGACTGGGAAACATGTTGTTTTTGTTTGTTACTCTATCTGAGAGATTTCCTTCTGTCTAAATTAAATGGTTGTAAATTAGTTTTATAATTAATGAAAAACTGGCTGGTTCGTCATTGGCTGAATCATGTGCTCGTCCAAGTCACCTCAGCAGAAGCCAGGAACTAACATGCATAGGTCTTATTTGTAGTTAGACAGATTCATGTCTACCTCTCTGAAACAAGTCTTAAATGTAATGCTATTTGCAAAAAATATTTAAATAAAAATTATATAAGGCTTATCACTGAACAGGTTCTGACAAATCTATTTTGATCTAAACTATTAAACTACTGGTTATGCTAGAAGGGGCACATCATCTCCAAGGAGGAGTTAGCTACAGTTGATGATCTTGCAGGGTCTCCTCAGCGTAAGTTGAACATGGTGCTTTGATAAAGGGTAATAAATTATTGGAAACTCATCTAGAGCAGGAGATGGCTTTTTCCTGCAGGGAAAGGAAAAGGGCTTACTAACCCGTGATCTGGCTGCTTTCTTCTAGAAATGGCTTTGACTTGTTAAAAATACAGTTGGATAAAATCTGACCTCCAACCCCAGATGAATCTGGAGAAAGCTAACTTGAATACAAATGCTTGGCGTCAGAGTCACCCCTGTGGTGTTGGGACCCGAAAGGATTCTGGTTTTTGGTCTGGACTGAAATACATATGACAGGTTGAAAGGCTACACATTCTGATAAGCTGGTGGTAAGGGTCTTGTAGGAACAGGTGATTACTGTGAGATTCCTGCCACTTGAGCTCTCCACTTAGGGTCAAAAAATATTAGGAAAAATTAATATAGAAAATGATACTATTGATCTTAAGGTATTTTGTGGGTTCCCCAAAATATAAACCTAGTCTTGGCGGTTGCAAATCCAAGTACAGCTTCCTCAGTTCAGCTACAACGGTGTTGTTTTGTTGCACGGTTATATTTTTTTGGATCTATCAAATATTTTTTTAACAAATTAACCACTAGATGGCACTTAAAGTTTGCTTTCTACTCTACTTTCTTTTCCTCCCCCCTCCCCCCCCACCCCGGGGTCTTTTTCAAAGGTCTGTTCATCTGTAATTAAGAGTTGATGACTCCCATTGGGACTATGTTGGTGGAAAGCAAGCTGCAGCAATATTTGAGTGAAAGCAGGCAAAAGTATAACCATTAAAGAGGGAACAATGACTATAATTTAAATAAGATTTGGGTGGTTGCAGTGTTTGCATAATCCCTCCTGGCATGCAAGAGCAGTAGAGAAGCCTGTGGCTTTGCTCTCCTGCTGTGTTTCTACAAAAATGGAAAATTGTAATGAACAGTAACATTTTTCCTATCTTTCATATTCATTCTCTCCTTCCTCCCCCTTCCTTTTAGTGGAATGCAGTTTACTTAAGGATTGCGTTGTAATGAAACTAGCATATACCTTGGTAAACTCTCCATTGGGTTCTCCAAATCAGATGCTTCTTGCTGCATGTTCTGGACATGAATTAAAAGTTACTTAATACACGTTAACCCAGTAAAGGCAGATGACATATGGTAACAGGCAAATTATGCACATTTTTATTAAGATTCCCCAGTTTCTATATTGGTTGCCACTCCTGTAATAGCTCAGCCAGGTACTCTTTTTTTTTGCTTTAAAACTATCATTATATTTTGGCTTAAAGATGGTTAAATACGTTTCAGTATTAAGTAAACTTCTATGACCCTGCCTATTTCCTGTCCTGTCAAACCTTTCCTTGTAAGAATAACAGTGTCCTTTTATTTGGTGGAGTGTAGCATGATGTTTTTGGCAGGCCCAACATTTTTGACTTGCATAAATTTGTGACCTCAAGTGCAAGAAAAGTGAATACTTGCTTCAGTGCCTCATGGTTTCTGCCTAATAAGAAAAATGTCCACATTGCTAATCATTACAGTTGCTGAAGAAAAAATTATCAGCACACTTATTCCACCTGATTGCACATGACTGCACTTCCAGAGAAAATAATCAGAAATAAAAATGAGTATTTTGTACCTAGTTATGTAAGGTACCAACTGTCTGAAAATATAGGGCAGACTGTACTGCCTTATTGATTTCTAGAATTGGCACACATGGCACTTGCCTCACTAACAGCTCTTTGGCAATCTCTACCTCAGTGAGCATCTGATTCTGCAAAGCGTAAGCGTGGAGCTGCTGCTGGGCAGAGAATACGATTGCACGGTTAAAGGCTGCAGGATAAGGTGAAGTGAATTAACGTAATTCTTTTCCTAAACTTTCCCTCCATTAACTGTGTGGTTATTTAGCTCTTTACCAAAGTGATGCTTTTTCCCTACTCTGTTAGGGCACAACAAGAAAACCTTTTCCTGCCAAGTCCAAAAACCTGATAAGTTAATTTTATAATTTGAGAGCCCTCACCCAGAAAATATCTACTAAATTTTGGTATGTAAAATATGCTCAAGTAAGTGTGAGCTGTGTGTGCACGCTTGCTTGTTTCCCTATGGACTTTGATGATTTTTATCAGTTATGTCACAATATAATATTAATAATTGTCTTTTAAAAAACATTTATATAATAAATTTTGTAGCAGATAGAAATAGGAGGTTTGTATACATTAATATTGCTTGTAGCCTTAATGTTTAAAGCTGATGTCCTTGAACCAAAGAAAGTTTTCTTTTGATTACTATTGATTACAGCAAAGGAATTTGTTTGTTTTTGTTTTGTAAAAGGAAAAAGAAAAAGCAAACAGTCATGAAAGTAGTATCTTTGGCCAGATTCTTTTAACATGAGTATTTTGTGGTTTATGGATTCCTAGCCAGTCCGAAAGGTTGTCTCCAAATGTCCAAGACAAAATAACTGTATGTCCTAGTTGGATGAAAATTTCTCTTTTTCCTTTGCAAGCAAGCTGTTTCTGTATGCTAAGTCTACAGAGCAAGGCAGGATATAGTATCTGATGCTGCTTTGCTAACACACCTTAATCCTAACTGACCATAACCTTCCCACTTGTGCCAGCTTGCGCTCACATCAGTGCTGGGTTACAGGTGCCCTCCCTTAGGGTACAAGATGGTATCAGGGAAGCCCACTGTCTGGGTTTTCACAGTAGGAAACACAAAACACCAGTCTCACTGTCCTTCCCCTCCACTGCAATGTAAAAGTTACTGCTGGCAGTGAGCAAATCTGTCAGGGGCGTTACAGGCATTCAGGCCATTAAAATTCTGGAAGAAGGTGGCTTCCCCCTCTCCATCCTATCTTAGGACAGTGCATCATAGCAATGCATAGGCTGATGGCAGTCAAAGAAAAGGAGGTGGGAGGGAAAAGAAAAAAAGAAAATCAGAAATTTCAGTCCTGTTCTCACCTTTCTTCTCAACTTGCCTTAAGGCATTAGCAGTCTGGGAAAATGAAAAAGGAGGGAGTTGTGACAAAGCCAGGAAGTCATGGACCCAGCAAAAGAGAGTTCATTGCCTTCCCTTGACATGAGGAAGGGGAGACGACTGAGTCAAAACGGACAGAGGACTCCCACTTCATCATCTTGGTGAGTTTGTTTTTTTTTTTTAATCACATCAATTTCACTAATAAAAGTTCTCCAGGAAAAATTGGATAAACCCAGCCTGTAGGACTGCTGCCAAGAGAGAAGCTGAACTGCTGCTCGACAGAGGCAGCAAGGTAGAGGCATTTTTGCCAAGGTATCATTCCTCACCCAAGTGCAGCACTCTTTTTATCAGTTTCTAGCTAAGAGAAGCTGATGCTTTAAATGGGGGCCTCACATTTCTGTTACTTCTAGAAGTATGACATACAGAGCATCCCTCCCCTGGCCACCTGCACAGAACCTCCAGTCTGCTGCGCATAACTTTCCCAAATGCCAAGTGAGCAAGACTAACAATCAAACTAGGCGAGCCTAGGCAAGCTTTGACCATTTTGTCTTGAGCAGGCTAAGAGTCTGCTGCATAGGAGAGGTAGCCTCCATTTGCATTTGGTTTGTCTTTGGAAGGCCTTCTAGATGCTTAGCATTTCTTAGACACACTAGATTCAGCAGAATAGCCTTGCTTTGGCACTTCTAGGAAGTCCAGTGTCTACCACAGGATTGTGGATTTTCAGTCATTCAGGTCCCTGAGCACGTGGTTTCCAACTAGATAGGCCTATTTATTTTTACATAACTACTTTTCTGCTAATAAAGTTGGTTTAAAAAGTATCATGGGCTACACTAATAACAGCAATAACAACAAATTGGACTCCACTTACAACCCTCTACTCCTAAAGTCTGCTATTGAGATGTTCAGAACATATGTTAAAGGAATGGCTATGTATATATTAAGAAAGCATGCAAATGATCAATGATGCCAGGATTGCAATGTGAGCTAAATGAAAAATTATTACACATTTGTGATTATTCCAAGAAATTTTGAGTAATCGCCAAAATAGTAGCACAGCTGGATGAGGAGAGGGATGGGGTCTAATTAAGCTGGCACTAAGGCTAAAGAAATTCATGCAAAGCCACAGCCATAGTTGCCTCAGTGAGTCGCCTTCGTACCACTGTTGGGCTGGTGCACAGCAACATGCAGTGATAAAGCTGTATGCTAGCAATATCCTGTCCACCATGGGGATTATTCCTCCAGCTTCCATTATATTTGAGTTATTGGAGAACACCAAGTACCTCTAGAGCCGCAGAGTGGTGAAACCAACCTAATGCTGAAATCAGAGCTGTCTAGCTGTGATAGGGTTGTTTATCACGGTAGTAAATTGGTCCTAACCCACGTCAGGAATGATACTGCTTTTTTTAATATGGTGGCTGTGCAAATGCAGTAGACATGGAGAAAGCTGAGTCTTAACTCATGTCTTATAATCCCTTATGGTCTCCCTAGATAGCATCTTTTCCCTCATGCCTTTGCTTATTGATCTCTATGTTTTTGTTGGCCAGACTTACATTTACTGGTGAGCCATCAGTTAGCAAGCAATGGTAGGAATACTTGAATAGCTACGTGAAAGATTTCTGTGAAGCTCACTCAATTCTGTTGCATGGTGGAGAAATAGCTTCAGCTCTATTTAACTGGTAGAAAGGAAAAGTGCTTACAAACTGGGTATTAGAAACAAAATTAGACCTAAGAGCAAAACTCTTGGTTTAGTACTCTAAAGCACAGGCCAATAGCTTGTGGGAAACTCCTTTCTTACA